CTCCTCTCCAGGCCTCAACTTCTTCATCTGTAAATGCGTATCCAGGAACACCCACTCCAGCTAAGTAGGAATAAAACAAAGTTAGTGCAGGGCTAATTGAAATACTCATTAGGTAAGTGATTTATGTCAGCTTCATTGTTTTCCAGGACACAGTAATATGAACTTGGGTAACAAGGGAGGTTGGGCAGAATGTCGTTAAAGGTGCTTTTAATAAAATATTTTAAATGACACATAATCAACATACTGTTCTAAAGCAAATGGGCCCTTCAAAGGGATAGTCCTTCTCTTTAAGTAATTTACCAGAGGACAGAAGCCAGATTAAATAGCAGAGCCATAGAGCCACGACTTGTGCCACTATGGCCCAATCTATATACGACACCAAAAGATGTCCGCCTCCTACTCTTGTAACAAAACGCCAGGTTACGATAGGCTGTCTACAGCATGATCCCAATTGCACAAAGTATTCATACCCACCTGTCTATACTGGAGGAGGCATCATTTTAAGAACGGATGTTTACACTTATTATGACGAAAACCAAATAAAATGATTTTTTTTTTTTAAAGGACAGATGTTTATGCTGCACGGTGTGGAAAGTGTGAATTTATTTTCTGCTTATTCTTTCTACAGTTAAAAAAAAAAAAAAGCTACCTCCATTGGTGGAGGAGGACGAGGGCGAGGCTCCCCTGCTGGGGCCTGGGGTAGGAGGACAGTAGGCGGAGACCAGCAGGTGGAGCGGCGCGGTAGAGACTTGCTTGCTCCTGCCGCCGACTGGCTCCACTTCCCCGCCACTGCCAGGGAACCGCGGGGAGCGCGTGCGCGGGGCGGGGCGCGGGCTGAGGCGGAGCAACGCTGTGGGGCGGGGCGGGGCGCGGGCTGAGGCGGAGCAACGCTGTGGGGCGGGGCGAAGGCGCGGCCTGAGGCGGAGCAACGCGGTGTGGGGAGGGAGCGGGGCTGTCCGGCTCCCCGCCGCTCGGTTCTCAGTGGCGGAGAAGGCGGGGCGGACGGGCCCGGGAAGCGGGAAGGATCCTGACTCCCGGCCATGGCGGCGCCCGGTGCGCTGCTGGTGATGGGCGTGAGCGGCTCGGGGAAGTAGGTCTGGGAGGGCGGGGGTCGCGGCGGGTCGCGGGGGGCGCCCTGGAGGAGGCGGCGCGCGCGGCGGAGGCCGGAGGCGTCACCGTTCCGGGCCCGCGGGGGTACGCAGGGTTCTGGGGAACCTCCAGCCTCCCTTTGCAGATGAGGAAGCGGAGGCTCGGGGCACCTGCTCTCTCTCCGCACCCGACAACCTGCTCACCCTGGGGCGCGGAGACCCGTTACCCCGAGAGGCTCTAGAGGCAGCCCTCTGTGAAGAAGCGCCTGCCGCGGCGCCGCCCGCGGCTCCGTTGGTCCTCAGGGCCGGTGTCTGGGAGCCTCTTGTCAGAACGAGGTGGAAGGATGTGAGGCCCAAAGCACAGGGGCGAACCTCGTCCCACTCTCCCACACACCTTTGTGAGGCTGGGCAGAGGGGCAGCTCCCTCCTGCGAGCTACTGGACTTGTGCGATGAGATTTCAGAAAGGTTATTTAACCTTCTGGTCTGTTTTCTCTGTGCTGTGATCAGCGTTTATCAGCTTTACGTGGAAGTCAGTGTAAATTAATTGAGTTCCAAAACCCCCTAAGGGTTTGCAAGGAGGACCACCGGGTGCGCTAGAGCCTCTCTGCTCAGCCCAGTCTGGCCATCTTGGGGGCTGGGAACTAGACTTTGGCTTCCTGATTAGATCAAAATCCAACCGTGCCCTTTACCCGAAAAGGGAGCCACTGCAGCGTCCGCCACAGGAGGCAAAAGACAAATCTTAATCAAGAGGAATATCGTTAAGTTCAAAGACCTGTAGTACCCTTCTAGAATTTTCTGCACCATGACTAGCTGGTGTGGTCAAGTATATATTAAAGACTCTTGCTCCAGGTAGGAAAGTTTAGGTTTTTAAGATTACTGTGGCATTTTTAGCCTCATCTCTTGAGAAAGTAAAATGATTTGGGGAGCCTTTGAATAAAATTAAAATAAAACATGAAGCCTGAAAATCCCTAGTTGTTGTATGATTTGAAGAATTTGAATGTAAGACTGCTTCTGTGTTGTGATGTAGTGGAAGTCGAGAGCCCCGGGTCTTGATTGTGCTGCTGCTGCCTGGTTGTGTGAGCTTGGGTAATTCATGTACCCCTCTCTGCATTGGAGCAGATGGGGGAGTGTGTGAAACCATATGATTTATATGGTTATGATATTCATGCATTCAGTAACTATTTATAGAGCTTGATCCTGACTCCGTGTCACAGATATATAATGAACAGGATAGATAAAATCCCTGCCCTCAATGAGTTTACACCCTAGTATGGGAGGGAAACAGGGAAGTGGATAAATACATGTACACAGTGTGGTAGGCAGTGGTGGTGCTCCAGGGGCAAGTAAAGGAGAGTAAGTAGAACAAAGAACAGCAGGCAGGATGGTGAGGGAAGGCTCCTCTGAGGCAGTGGTATGTGGGCAAGACTCACAAGAAGTGAAGGACTAAGCCTGGTGGCCAGCTAGGGAAAGGGCAGTGTAGGCAAAGAGAATATAGCAAGTGCAAAGGCCCAGAGGCTTTGTTTCATAGTGTCTTCCCAGGGAATCCATTGTGGCTGAGTGATGGGAGATGAGGTCAGAGAAACAATGAAGGTGAGGAGAAGTGGTCATATGCTGGAGATATTCTGAAGGTAGAACCAGAAAGTTGTGTCGATGGACTGGCTGTGGGGTATGAGTGAGGGAGAAAGGTGTGAAGGATGACTTCGGGATTTTTGGATTGGGTATCCAGAAGAAGGGAGTTATTATTAACTAATGGAGAAGCAGTAGACAGAGCAGGTTTTGGGGGAAAAAACAGCACAGTCCAATGTGGGATGTGGTGAATTGCCTATCAGTCACATGAGTGGGTTTGTCAAGTGGTTGATTGGCTATCCAAGTCCAGAGTTTCAGAAGAGGAACTTTAGATATAAATGTAGGAATTCTTGGTGCACAGATATATTTAAAGACATAAGATGTTGAGATAACCGGGGGAGTGAGTGAAGATCAAGAAGCTGGCCAGGAACTGAGCCCTGGGCCCTCTGACGGTTAAAGTTCAGAGTCAACTATTGCTGAGGGACTGAGTAATAAAATGAGAATGATTATATAGATCAATGGATATAGAACACTGAGTTCTTTGGTGACTTCTGTGAGCCCTTGTTAGGGCCCTGCAGGATTTTAAATTATACGCCATTACATATGAGAGGGGAAAAAAATGGCTCAATAGGACAAATCTCACACCAGAAAGATTGTAGTTAAACCACTATTAAAACAATGTCAAGCATGAATTTTACTTTTTCACTATGTTTATTGCCTCCCCCTCTCCTACTTAAATGCAAGGGATCTTTTTCCTTTTTGTTTATTGCCCTCTCTGTCTAGAACAATGTCTGGCATGTAGTAGGTACTCAAGAAATATTTGCAGACTTAATGGATGAATGAACAAATGAATGAACGGAGCTATGTGAATAGGTGGCAATGTTAGTTTCCTTTATGTTTGAATAGCCTTCGTGAAGCCACCCTTAGGTTCCGGCCTTTTGAATATCTTTTGCTTTTAATCTGTGCCTCAGCCTACCACCACTGTCCTACAGTCCTTTTCAATCTCCTTGATCCTGATTTAGACTAACCCGCTTAGAGATCCCTGGGTCCCAGACTGGTTTGTAATCCTTCCTCCAACCAGTCTCCTCCGAGCCGAGCACTGTGCCAGGTGTCCTTGTCTGAGTCCGTGTCAAGTCCTGCGTTCTCTGGCTTAGGAGGTTTGGATAGAGCAGTGGACAGTGGCTTTTCCTTTTCCTTCTGTCTCTTCTTTGCCCGTCTACACCCCAGTCTAGTTAGCTCTTCTTTCAGCTTGTGAGTGGTGGCTGACATGTTCATCCCTGGCTCATCTAACTTGGGCTTCAGTGTCATTTCGGTCATGCCCAGCTCTGGCTTCCCTGGCCCTGGAGTTGGTCACTGGTAGGCTGCAGTGTGTCCCCCTGTGCGAGCATCAGCACGGTGAACCTCATGGGAGAAGTTACAGCCCTTTGCAATCCTTTGGTCACATCGGGGAGCGGGTCTCAGTTGGGAGTACACATGTGTCTTTAACACAAGGTCTCCTCAAGGCCTTCTTCACAAAAGAGACAGGACCCTTGAATCCAGGTAGAATGTAAGCAGGGTTTTGTTTTCATTCGTTTTGTTTTCGTTATTTTCATATCCTGGGGACTAGCAGGTGCTCAGTAAGTGCTGGCTGAGTGAAACGAGTAGTGAGTGGGTACGTGTAGCTCAGTTCCCCCATTTTGGAGGTGAGAAAACAGGTGTAGAGGTAAAGGTGACTGGTATGGAAGCAGGTGGCCAGGTGGTGGCCGCACGGAGACTGTAGCCAGCTGTTAGGTACTGAGACCCAAGCCCTTTGCACTGAGTGCTGCCCACTGGGGGAACAACATGTCCTCACCACACACATCGCACTGACACCATTTCCCTCCTAGGCTGACTTCTCATTCTAAACTTCATTTTAGTTTTTAAGAAGCCCCAGGCAAGGTGGTAATGCTTGTATGAGTTCCTTGAACCTTGTGCTGGGAGGTTAAACCCCCCTGTCAGACCTCCGTCAGTACCCTCAGTAAAATCTCATCTCTCGTCAGCTTTTTTCCCCACAAAACCTAATGATCTCTAGAACAGGGACCAAAAAACTTCAGAACTTCAGGAGTTTAGTGAGATCTCATATATTGCTTTTTGGGAAAGAAAATTAGTGGTAATTCAGTAACTATTTAAATTCCTGGAGAACATGGACATGTTCTTGACTCTAGGCCTGACAGCATTACTGTCCCTGCTTCAGTATCATGAAATTACTGGGTTTCAACATGGCGGGGTGGCTGCTGTCTCCCAGGGCACCCTGCATGGTAGGGGGTATGCAGGGGTTGGGAAGAGCCGTCACCTGAACCTCTGTGTCCTCTCCACAGATCAACCGTGGGCGCCCTGCTGGCCTCCGAGGTAACCTGTTCTGATGCCTCCCAATGACGAGTCCCACGGCGCTGTCTCTTTGCTTCTGTCCCTTCGGTGCACTTTCTTTCTGGCCCTTTCTTTCTGGTTTGTAAAACTCACCACGGGTGTGGCTTGTGAAACCCAATGGAGCAATCTTGGTTTACACCTTGGTGATGACCAAGAGTGATGAATGAAAGGAGCAGCAGCCCAGTGAGCAGGGACACGGATGTGGCATGACAGCCTCCCTGCTCCCATGTCGGGGATGGGGAGTGGAGGGAGGGGGACCACAGGGGGAGGGGAATTGAGTAGGGGTGGTCCCCGGGCTGCCCATTTCCACACCTGCCCCGTAGTGTCAGTAATGGTGGTTGTCATCTACACCCTTTCACTTTGTTCTTAAAGCTGGGATGGAAATTCTATGATGCAGATGACTATCACCCAGAGGAAAACCGAATGAAGATGGGAAAAGGGATCCCACTGAATGACCAGGTAACATTTGCTGACTGTTTCCAACCCAGACGCTCCAGCTGGGAGCCGCAGGTGGGGCTCCCCCAGCACGTGGTGTAGGAGACTTCCTGCCCGAGAGGACTTGTGCACAGCACTCCAAAGCCAGGCAACTGCGGTCCTGCATGGTCAGCTTTGGCCCTGAAATGCTCTCTGAACACAGAGCTAGGAGTCACCCCACCCCGCCCCCATTTGGGCAGAGCCTGCCAGCTTTTAATCTGCAGGAGGTAATTCTGGAGGTTCTGCCTTCCTCCTCCTCCCCACGCCTTCCAGCTGCCGCCAGCACCTCACCACCACCCCAAAGCCAGAAGGATCGTTACAGATTCAAATCTAGCCCTCTGGAAGTGTCCCATCCATCTCAGGGTCAAGACCAAACAGCCCAACGCCTCAACATGCCCCACTCCACTCTCTTTGGGTACCCTCCCTCTCTCTCTCCACCAGAGCCACCCTGGCCCCTGTCAGTCACTCCTGCTGCCCTGCTGCTCCCCACAGGGCCTTTGCATCTGCTGGTCTCACTGTCTGAAGTGCACTTTTGTCCCCTCACTTCTGAAATGCACCCTGTTCCTATCCACAGCTCAGCTCCCGTGCCACTTAGGGAAGTCCCCCTGGGCCTACTGAAGTAAAACCTCCTGTAATAAATTCTCACAGCACCACGGCCCACACAGCCCGGGTCCCAGCTGCAAGTTGGCATTTGATAGTGTGAGAATTTAATTGATATTTATCTCTGCAACTCGATTCTACTTCTGAAAAAGCAAGAACTGTGGCCTTTCTGATGACCATTATATACCCCCAGGGCTGGCCGCACAGTCAACATCAGAAGATACCCGTGACTCAGTCATAAGTGCAGGAATGAACAGCGCCTCACTCCTTATGCACCGTCATGAGGCCACTTCCTAGGGTCCCTCCCAAAGCACAGGTGCAAACTGGACTCGCTGGCATAACTCGCCGTAGCTCAGGGGAGAGGTGAGGGCCGGGGTGTTCAAAGGGCAGGAACAGAGTGGAACTGGCCGAAGACCAATACTGTGGTTACCACTTTCAGTGACCTCGGTCCCAGCTGTACTGAGCTAGCTCACTCTTGTCCCCTTATCCGGCCTCCAGGGACTGGAGTCCCCCACCATCACTAGGTCTAGTTCTAGGGATGCCGAGCATACACCTATCTCTGTTTCAGGGAGGATGGCTTGAGCTGGCCAAGATTCAGACTTTGAACCATCAAAATTAAGTTTGCGACATTTGACTTTAGGGGACAGGAGGAGGGAACCATAAAAGAGATACAGAATAGTAACTGGAGCATAATAATGACATTATGGTAGCGATAAAGACATAGTGCAGATAACCTAGCTTACCACTAAGCGTGTGTGCCCTTTGGCCAATGGCTTAGTCTCTCTCTGCCTCCTTTTCCTCCTGTGAAGCAGGGATGTAAGAGGACCCATTTCATTGGGTGCTTGGGAGGATTAAATGAGATACTACTAAAAATATGCACAGTGAAGTACTCAAAGCATTCAGTAAATATAACTTACTGTTGTCGCTAACGTATCTATGCGTACATGTATGCATCACGTAAACCGTTTCTACTGAGTTTGTAAGTGTGACCGTGCCAGAGTTTTCTCCTTGGTGAGTGCAAATAAAAGTTAAAGAACGAGGTAAAGCAACCCAAATGGATGGAGTTTTCAAATGACCTTTAAACATCCTCCTGTTCACACGCGAGGCTTGTTAAGTGGGCAGTCTGGATGGGGGGATGGGAAGAGTTCAGAAAAGGAATTTATTGTACGGAAGAAAAGGTTATCGGTTACTGGAGGAAACATAATGAGTCACTAAATATATTTAGGAGAAACTGTACAGGTTAGCCAGACTTCAGACTTTCTCCCTTCCGGGGAGAGAAAGAGCTAGAATGGCAGATGGTTGACATTCGTGAGGAGAACTCAACTAAGAGTGAAGGTGTGGGTCACAGCTGCGCTGGCACTGGGGACCCCTCTAGCAACCAGTTCTGCACCACCGCCCCCCACCAGGATCCTGTGAGGAGGCCCCAGTGGAAAGTCTGAGGCAGGGGTACTGCCTCCTCTGGGAAAGGCTTGGGGAGGGTTTCATGCTCAGAGGGCTGAAGTTTGAAGAAAGAGAACCTGTGCTGAATATTCCAGGGGCTCCTTCAGGCTATTTAAATGTAAATGAACATAAACTAAACTGTAAACCCCAGTTCTGGGGTTACACAGCCCAAGTGTTCAGTTGCTACACGGGGCCCATGGCTACCACCAGAGGGTGCAGAGAACACGTCCATCATGACAGGAACCTCTAGTGGATATGCCACTCAGGCTGTGAGGGGATGTTATTCGTGTGATAATGATGATAAAGGATCTGCAAGCTGCCAGTGTTCCCCCCAACCCCCCCACGCCAGGTCCATGCTGTCCCAGCAGCCCGCAGGGACACTGATGCAGACTTCAAAGTCTGCTAGATGAGGGGGTTTTTGTCAAAAATTTTCCTGATTATCAATGTAACACTTGCCCTGTATAGAAAATTTGGGAAGTACTGGAAAATGTTTTTACAGAATATATCACTCTTGTCTTTATCTTTTAAAATACCTACAAATTTTAGAGTTTGAATTTTGGAGTTTTTTCCCTTTTTTGGGGGTCTATATTCTCCTTACATGTGTTCTTTCCTCTGTGGTCTCAAGTTTATTTTTTGCACCAGGTAAACAGTGGGTCCTGGCCACTGCTCTTCCCCACCCGCTCCTTCCTTCTGCTCCGTCCGCCTCCCCCAGCAATGCTGGGCCTACTTGGGCTCCTACGTTGTTCCTCTGAGTTCCAACTCCCTTCTCCCTTTAACCGTCCCCTTCCAGAAGACACTTCATGTCTCTAGATGTTTCCATCACATCACTAAAACCAGAGGCCCAGGAATCTTTCTCTGCCCTTTTGATGTCCTGATTGAACTTCTGCTAGAACATTTGTTGTGCCCACTACCTCCAAGCACTGGGCTGGGGGCAGGGGACACCCATCAGGAAGGAGATGACCTTGAATGTCAGACCCAGCAGGCAGAGATTCTCATTTGGGTTATGCTGTTTCCTCTTCTCTTTCCCCTAAGTTTCTTTCTGTGTGTTTGACTTTCATAATGTATCCTATCATCTGTAGTAACCACTCACAGAGTTGAGTGAATTTGCTCTAATATCTCCGAGTTCCAATTTCTGCTTTTGTGAAGAAGGAATCTCAGTCACTCCCTTTTGTCACAAATGTGAACACAAAATTGAAGCTCATGCCTCCAAGTCTTAACACCCTTACAGTAAAGCCCAACCTTTCTTAGCAGGTCACTCAAGTTCTTGACCACCTAGTCAAGGCAGTTTCTCCTGACCTTCCTCACTGCCAACTCCCACACTGTTCACCAGGGCTAAGAAGCATCTGCTTCACACATTTACTCAAGAGTCCCTGTATACCATCTTTAACACTCCCAGTCTTAGATTGTGTCCTCCTCTCTATTTAGAAATGTACAACAAAAGTGCTGTCAACCAAAACTTATGGGATGCCTTTGAAACATTACTTAGAAGGAAATCTATGACCTCTGGAAGCATTTCCAGAAAAATAACAAGAATGGAAAGTAATGAGCTAAATGTTCAAGTAGGGAAAAACAATAAACAAAAAGGAATATGTAGGGAAAAAATAGAAATGGATGCTGAAATTAATGGAATATAAGCTGTTTAAAAAAAATAAAAATAAATAAAAATCTAACAAGACTGATCAAGAGTGGAAAGAAAGCACAATTAAGAGTAGGAATGAGAAGAGGGCTCTGAACTGGTGATGTTTGTAAATTTAAAGACTTAAATTGGACAATTTCTTAGAAAAATATAAATTACTGTGGGGGACATGGGCTTGGATGGCAGTGACTGATGGCAGAGACTACTCCGCTTTTCCCCCCAAAGAGGAATACGACCTTGCCGATGCTGCATCTGGCTTAAGAAATCAGGAGGGTCTGGAGATCTAACTGTATGTGTGATCTCGTCCTGGATCAAGAATAGAAAACCTGAACATAACATAATGCTCTTTAAAAAAACTGAATCTGGAATCCGAGACCTCCCCGCAAAAAAGGCCCCAGGCCCAGATGGTGTTTCAGATGAATTTTGGTCAGCATGGACCACTGTAACAAAATATCACAGGCTGGGGGCTTAACCAAGAGACATTCAGTTCTCACAGTTTTAGAGGCTAGAAGTACAAGGTGAGGACGCCAGCATGGTCAGGGGCTTGTGAGGGTCTGCTCCCTGGCTTGCAGGTCGGGGAGAGGAGCGGTTACAGCACAGGAGGGCGAGCACCCATTAGCTCCTGGTCTCTTCTTCAAAGGGCGCTAATCCCATCCTAATGTTACTGTGCTTAACTGCCCAGAGACTTGACCCCACAGCCTTGTCACGGCCTACTTCTCAAAACCGCTAAGATTTCTCTGGGCTGTAATGCTGATGAACATGATTAACTGTGTTTCTGTACAAATAAACAATACCTGGGGAAGTCACTTTGTGTCTGCTTTAATTTCAGGACAGGATACCATGGCTCTGCAACTTACATGACATTTTACTAAGGTAAGAGAGCATCAGGCCTTCACATAAGGCAATGAGTAAAGAAAATTCATCAGAAAGTAGAGGCAAAAAATACATTCTTGAAATCACAACTGGCTAATGGTAAAGGATCACAGAAATGGAATGCACTGTCAAGTAGCCAACAGTGATTTAAATCAGCCAGAACCCACGTGTAATTTAGTTGGGTTCTGGAAACGAACCTCCTGGACAGCTCCGCAATTGTCATCTGGGAATCTTGGTCAGCCAGTTGGCTTCCATTTAAGTCTGTTTCTTCATTTGAAAATGGGGGTGTAGTTCCTATTCACAGAATATCGTGAGAATTAGAGACGGGCATGGGAGGCATTCAGAATGGTCTTGAAAACATCTAAGTGCTGGAAAGGTGGTGACCGACGACACCACTGACTGTTCTCGTCACATCTTCGTCTCCACCTCTTACCCCAACTCCAAGCTGTGGCAACCAGGGAAGACCTGGGGTCATTTGTAACTGAACAGATAATTGGTCATCAGAATTGGGAGTCCAAAACCGTCCTGCTCTGTATCATGCCTCTGAGCAAATGAGGTCCCCTCCACCCATCTGAGGAACTGAGCCCTGGGAATCCTGGTTGGGATGTGGAGGAGGATAGAGAAAAGGCAGGGAATGGCTTATAAATCTTGTTTCTAAAATGAAGATGAGCTTTGCGCAGTGGCAGTATCGTAGCCAATGAGGTTTATCCGAGGCGATTATTGCTAATTAAAATAAAGATGACATTTCATATTTTTATAAATCTAAAACCTTTGCACCATATGCAAATAGAATATACTTAAAATTAAAAATTCAGTTTACTTTTTCACACTGCACTGACATAGCTGGCAACCTTGTCTTTGCATAGGCTTTGAGTTTAGGGTTTCAAGGTTTGAGAACTCCTACCCAACTGGGTCTTAACATAAGTAGACTAGATCAAATATACTGACCTGTGATGGAAGCAAAAGTTAAGATGCTCCTCAGCAATCAGACATCCAGACCCAGAATAAACGAGCTCTCAACCATGGCCTCTGGGAAGAGCCAGACGGCCCAGGTACGTAAGTTCGCTGCTGCTGATGCACTCCATCCACTGGATCTCAAGTGTACATTGTCCATAGATCAAAGGCAGACACCTGCAGAATTCTCAGTTCTAAAACAAACATTCTACCAAGTACCCAAGCCAGGGTTTTACCCTCACATCTTTACTTGAGTCCCTTCCCAGCCAGAAGATGGTTGCCTCTCCTGACCATGGACAGGGGCACACAGCATCTGGGTGGGAGAGGGGGCTCACTTACTTGGACAGTCTCGGAGCACACTGGTTTCCCTTTGTGGTGCCTGGTCACAGTGCCTCTATTTCTGGCTCAGGTTTTTTCTTAGCATATCCCTGGACGCTTCTTATATCTTGTTCCCCTGACCACAGAGAGTCTGATACTCCCCTTTTCGCCTGCTTTCTCCAGCTCTGCACTGGTAAATTCACCAGACTCCCAGCGTATTGTAGAGTAGGAAGGGGGAGAAGCCAGTTGTGAGTTTCAAATCACTGAACACCTGTGGAAAACCTGTGCCAAGGTGTGTGGGGCACAGGCACCTACCAGCAGCCACCCATGTCCACATGCAGTGGCCACGTCTACATTCGCAGGAGCAGAGCTGACACCTACCAAGAACTTCCTGTGTACTGGGCATGTTGGTCAACTCTTCCTCATAAGTCTACGGACAGGCGCTCTAAGGGGCCCCATTTAAGAGATGACGAACTGATGCTCAGGGAGGTAAATACCTTGCCCAAGACGGCTCAGTTCACTAGTGGAAGGAAGATTTTACCTTAAAGCCAGGACTGCCTGATACCTGACCACCATTTTGTAATGCCTTCTACTGGTAGAGTAGGACCAGTCTTCAACCTAGAATCAGCACCAGTTATTTCAAATGTCCGCATTCTTTAGTCCCACTCCCCCACCCCCCCCCCTTTTTTTTTTTTAACAGAGATGTAGCCTCTGGACAGCATGTGGTTCTAGCCTGTTCGGCTCTGAAGAAAGCATACAGAGACATCTTAATACGAGGAAAAGATGGTGTATCCCCGAAGTGTGATGAGACGGGGAAGGACAAACACCCAGCAGAAGTGAAGCTCCTCGTGGTCCATCTGAGTGGGTCGTTTGAGGTCATCTCTGGGCGTTTACTCAAGAGAAAAGGACACTTTATGCCCCCTGAATTATTGGAGTCCCAGTTCGAAACTCTGGAACCCCCATCGGCTCTAGAAAATTTCATCCAAATCAGTGTGGACAAAAATCTTTCAGAGATAATTGCTACAATCGTGGAAACTCTAAAATGAAAATCGCTTCAAATTGGGGGTCCAGAACAATCAGGCAGACATTTCTATCCCATCCCAATCTATGTTCTACTGTTTTTACCAGTATTCTAAATTCTTGGGGTGAACAAACCCTAGTGTACTGAACTCTACTTGCCTGGGTATATTTTTAGGCATTTGTGCTCTGGCACATGGGGAGGAGACAGGAGGGCATTTTGAAAGTAAAGCTTCAATAGAAATTCAAATTCCTGTCACCTAATCAGATGATCAGAGGGAATTCTATAATCAGTGCTATAAATCACAACCTCATTTAGAACATCCTTGATCATGCCTATATCTGAACAAATAAATGAAACTTGGCTATACTTGGCATCCCCTGGAAACTGGTCACAGGAGTAGAAACGTGTATAACGTGTAAACATGTGTAAAATTGACCACTCACCAGCAAGTTCTAAACCTCTCTCCTTGGATCATCTCAAGATAAGTAACAAGTACATATAGTTCATGGATATAAAAAATGGCAAAGGTGGAACTTCAGTGGATGTAGCCTGGGACTCACTGACCCAACTGTCCCCACTCATTTTATGGAGACCCCTGAGACCAGGCGGGGGTCAGCCACCAACCTCTCTGCTGCAAAAGCTGTCAGCAGTGGACTCTAGGATAAGGAAAGAACGCCAGAGCTGCTCTGGCCCAAATGTGAAATGAACCTTCCCGCCGGGCAGCAGTGTGCCAGGGGCAGCTGGGCTGGGTGAGGCTGTGCGGGAGGTTGGAGGCCTGGGTTTCAGCCCTTCCCCCAGAGGCTCCAGAAAGAGACTTCCTTATCCTTCTGTCCTAACCAAGGTCCTGGAATGCAGCTACTCTGCAGGGCCACTGATTCCCCTTGCCCAGAGAGTGGGTTTTGGAACCAATTACCCATTTTTTCCCCACCAGGGCAGGCAGCCTGTCTTGGGAACTACAAAGAGAATACGTGCCGGGGGTGCCAGGGGAGTGAAAGGGCCCTTGTGGGTAGACAGACCTTGCTTAAGGAAACATGAAACCTCAGATTTTCCTCTCTGCCTGATTTGAGAGGCATCTGCTATCTGGCTTCAGTCTACATCAGCCCTCACTACTCGGGGTCCAAGCCCTCAAGCTGACCAGTCCCACAGACTCAGGCTGGCCGATAGTCACCCCAGACACAGAGGAGGGACTCAGGCCACAGTACTCAGTGAGTCCAGACTGAATACCATCATAGGCACTCTGCAGCGTCTGCGGACCTGTTATGGGACACAGAGCTCCAGCTCTCAGTTGGCTTACGTCGAGGTGGAAGGACAGGGCATCTCACATCCTCTGGCATGGGCTAGAGTTCTCAGCAAAGGCCATTGCTCACAAAAAAGAACTGAGTTTCACTCCACTAGACTGTCCCGTAGGACCTGGTGAACCAGCCTGCTTATAAGAGCACAAGCTATTTTATGCATAAATAAAAATGTCTTTGGAGTTGTACGATACATGCAATTTCCAAGAGTACCAAAAAGGAACAATTATATTCTTTTTTAATTTTACTAGAGTTGTTTACCATTTCAGAGAATCATGGTGTGCTTTTCTGTCACGAATATAACACCCCTACATCAACCTGCGCTTGTAAGTCTTCATTCACAGTGATCAGCCCATAGGCACAAGCACCCAGCTGCTCCGTGGTGTTGGTCTAGGGCAACTATGTCTTCAGTGTTACATACTGAAACTCATTAGTTTATCACAAGTTACTTTCCCTTTTTCTCCTTTACAGCAAAGATATCCTATTTACTATTTGCTGGGGTAAATTTTATTAGCCATCAGTTTCTCTTCAGGTGGAAGCGGGACATCAGAAAATAGTTGTTAAAAATAGAAGCATCGAATCTCCAGGGGTTGGGAACCACTGCTCAAATCTTCCCAAGATGGACCCAGGGAGGCCAGGGTGTGCCCCAGTACTGCCCTCTGGTGGCCCTGGGGAACACCGCAAGCGCGAACGGCTCTCCCAGCCCTCCAGAACACCATCATGCAGGCAGCCAGCCATGGGTTCTTGCCTGGGTCCCCTGGCAGTGGACCGCAGCTCCCCACCCAGCCCTGACCATACCCTTGCTCAGCCTCTATGACCTGCGAAGAAGTGGAGAGTGAGACCTGTTTGCTGTGGCTCAAAATAGATGCCAATGATTCTCTCTTTTCTCCACCCTGCATATACCACTTAACCACCCACTCTGAAAGGAATTCTCCATCTTGCCCCCCACTCCAGGAGGAAGTTCAACGCTTTTCTTTCCCACAAAACACCACCTGCCTTGTAAAGTTGTGGCAGCTGAGAGAGTACACGCATGGTGAGACCACAACCAATACAACAAATGCAAGCTCTTGTTAAAATTGTCACCCTTGGGTGTCTGAAGCAATGTGGTCACAGGACCAACTCCCACTCCTCTGCCTTCCCGACTGTGGAGGAGATTATGAACCCCGGGCAAGTATGTGAATCTTAAGTCTTTGGGCTCTAACAGGTCTTCCTTGTTAACCACTGCCAGTGTGCTTCCATGCCTGCCCAGCCTGGGGGCCTGACCTGACTCAGACATCTGCTGTCCGCCAGCTCGGGAATCAGAAGCTGCAAGAGGCTGAGCTCTAGGCACAACACTGCCACACATTCACGGGGTAACCATGAGCAAGGCACCACTACGGGATGTCCCCACCAGGTGCTCCAAAGGTCCAGGACTGTCAGGCCAGGCCTCTCTAGAGACTTGATCTGATGAACAAAGCATCTTTCAGTGGATGGGAGTTCAAGAAGGGAGAAATTAAAACAGGCTGGCTCTAATCAAAGATACCATCAATCAGATTTTAATTTCTGAAACTACCATACAAGTTTATTCTCCCATCACCGAAGAGCAAATCTTCATGGGCACTATGAATGCCAGCAATTACCAAGGAGTAGACAACTAGATATCTAGCCTACAAGTTATGCTGGGCCTTAATTTAGAGGTGTTTTTCAACCCTTACAGAATCTCGGTATAAAATACAGCCTGTTGCTGATGTCCAGACAATCTTCAATCCCCCCAGTGGAGTTTCCCCCAGTGGCCTTAGATCCTACAGAAACTGAATTTCACTTTCTGGGTTAAAGATGTAAATTCATGGGCCATCACTCGGGAGGACCCAAGACCTAATACTGAATATATCTAACACATAGTTCAACTAAGGATCCAGTGAGGGGGAAATGTCCCAAAACCATGACAGTCAGTGGTAGGACCTGCACATTTGAATGCCCAGAGGGCCTAAGCAAAAACAATAATGGTAGGATATAGCAGACATTGGGGAATGGCAAGGACTATGGCACAAAAGAAAATGTATGCATTATCTAAAAAGGGAAGCCGCTACTCACCCCCCAATAATACAGAAACACATCTCATCATACAAGTTGGGGTTTATTGCTTGTTGCATAACAGAGAACAGACTTCCAGAACCATGGGGGGGTTTCAGTAAGAGGTCACAAAAGGACTTATGTTTTGGACACAGTAGGTGGGTTAAGGGGGGATTCAAGGAAGCTGTGGAGGAAGTAGGGAATGACTTGGTATCTTCGTAAGGTGAGAGAAATGAACCGAGGCTAAAAGCTATCATTCATCAAGAAGTGTTCAGAACAGGGAGGTATGTGGTCATTTTTGTGGAACGGACGTTCATGTTTTTCTGTGTCTAGGCACAATTACAAAATTCATCTTTTGACTTTGGTCACAGTCTTGGTAGCCATGTAGATATTCTGCAAAATTATTCAGCAGGACAAAGAGACCTTGCTTCTAGTAGTAGGCCAGCTCCTGGCCTACTTGACAGGCACTGCTTTTCTTCCCTCTAATTGGCAGAAATCACTGTCAACAGGGTCTTTCAGGCCTAGATTTGAAGTAGTTGAGGACACATTTATCTTTAAGACACTAGCAGAGCTCAGAGAGTTTAACTTGAATTTCCATTCTCAAGTGAGAATTTGGTAGGCTTTCTTCCATCTTAAGTGAAGGGTCAGGTTGCAGTAGTTGGTATACTCTGAGGTCAGAGGGTTGAGTAACAGCTAGTGGATTAACCTCTGGGAATCTGTACCACTTCCTTCTGTAGTTGGGGCTCCTGTGGCTAACCTTTGAAAAGACTGCTGAGCTGGTTTCCAAGTAGACGTACCATTTTACATTCCCACCAGCAATCTACCCAACACTTGTTACTTCTCTGTGACTACAGCCACCCTAGCAAGTGTGAAGTGACATCTCACTAAGGTTTCCATGTGCATTTCCCTAATGATGTTGAACATCTTTTCAGGTGCTTATTTGGCCATTTGCTTATCATCTTTGGAGAAATGTCTATTCAAATCCTTTGTTGCCTTTTAAAATTTTTTTTTCCTCTTTTTAGCGTTACGTTGTGAGAGTTCTTTACATATCCTGGATACTAGATTCTTAACAAACACATCATCTGCCAATCCTGTAGGGTTTGTTTACTTGAACAACTTTAAAAGCACAGAAGTTAAAGTTTGCTGAAGTCCAACTTATTTTTCATTGGTTGCCTTTTTGGTGTCATCTCTGAAAAACTACTGCCCAGTCCAAAGTAGTTGGACTGGGCAGTAGAAACAAGATTTATACCTTGTTTCTTCTGAGTTTCATAGTTTTAACGCTTACATTTAGGTCTTGGATCCATTCTGAGTTACTTTTTGAGTAAGAATATGCATTTTAACAAGATCCCAGGTTATGCATATGCACAGCCTTAAATGAACAATAAATTTCCATTCCCTTTAAATCACTGGTTCTAACGTTGAGATTTACAAAATCATGCCTGACTTTATTACTCAGGTAGAACAATTTCACTTAGTCTGTGGTGGGCTTAGTTTTTAATCTCTTCAGTTGATGCTGATGTGAAGCCAGGGTTGAGAACGATCACCTCTTCACGGATTCTGCATGGATTTCACCCACATGCCTTTGCCGGGCTGGTTCGCAGGTACTGGATTCTAACAAAGCCGCAGCAAGACTGGGGTCGGTGTTCACGATGAGTACAGTACATGAAATTGTAAGCTTCCTGTCTGGATAGGATACAAATCACACTTTGATCACTAGAAGATGGAGGTCACATTGAATGGTAGTGTATGCAGGCAGAGTGGAGACAAGTATAAGAAGAAATAAAGAACTTCTAAGACTGTTCTGGGAAAACCATAGATCTCAGGTTGGCCAGAAGCATGGTCTACAACTAGCTGTACTTCAACCTCTACTTACCATGCTCTGTTTGAGCCATTATTTGTCCTTGTTCTTTTTTCTTGAAAGAGAGGGGTGGAAATGGGTTGAACTCTTGTCTTTCCTTTGCAAATGTAGAACCGCAGAACCAATTCAAGCAGGTCAATGACCCATATGTAACAGCTAAATGG